AAAAAAAAAAAAAGAAAAAGAAAAACCTAGGGGATCGATCGGAGTCACCGCGACAATAATTCACCTAACATATACTTCAAAAAACCGGGACTTCATGGACGATAGAATGAAGGCAAATTTAAAAATAAATGTATAAAGGATAGAAAAGTGTAATATAATTTAAATGTGTTAGTATAAAGTACATTTTTTTTTTCTTTTATCACATACCAATGACCATGAAGAAAGCCCGTTTTATTTTTTATTTTTTTAATTGCCAATAAGCCCGTTTTATTGTCTCTCGTTGTCGTTCAAATATACAAAGAAGCCGAACTTCAAGGCAAGGTGAAAGCATGCCAACCAAAGCCCCAATAGAACACTCGTCGAGCCGACTTACTACAAGCCTCTTCCTTAAAGATAAAATTAGAGAAAATTATCGACCAATAAAACCCTTTTTACGTACACATTTAGAAATTTTTGCAATAATACTAATTTTCGTGATTAATGATTGATTTAGGGGGTGATTGTTTACAAAATATTTCACCTCAAATATTTTCAATTCAAAATCTAAATTAACTTTAACTCAACCCCACTATTTTTAATATTATTCATATAATTAGATAATACAAACTAATCATTCTTACACATCACATCAACTTTAATTCACTATTCATCCACTCACATAATTTTAACTACTAATCATTTCCAATCATTTATCTCCTACTTTATATCAAATCAATTTTAATCATTTTATTTTAAATATTATTTTAATATATTTTTTAAATCCCACTAATAATTAACCATACTACTTTTTCAACTTTAACCATAGTTAATTTATCATTGATTTCTAGATTGTATTTGTCTATCAATAATTTATGCATAATTTTATTCTGAATGTAGTATTAAAGAAAAAATCCAAAAAGTGTAAAATCAGCCCACTCGAAAGACCCAGTAGGAACATTGCTGGGCCCAATATTTCCAATTCCTGTTGGCCTATTTTCAAAAGGGGAAAAAGGAAACCGCCACAAAAGTCAAAAACTTCATGGAAACACCACCAGCTGAGTTCCTAATTGTACGGGAAAATAACAAGCTAAATATGAACAGATAAAATCCTAGAAATTAGCAGTTAAAGTCGCAACATTGTACTGATAACATCAAGTGCAAACCGGAGCAAATCCCTGAAATCGCCAGTCAAGTTCCTACTTTATACAGAAAAATTAACAAGTGCAGCGAGCAAATCCAAGAGTTCACCAAATCAAGTTCCTACATTCTACTGGAATATAACAAAAGCAACTGTGATCCAGAGAAAATCCCGAATTATACCATTTGGAAATACTTGAAAGCTCCCAAACGACACAACTGCAAAAGCAATCCCGAACCGAAAGCTCTCGTGAGACCTAAACAGATTAAACAGCATCACATCTTGGGCCGACAAATGTCTGTCCAGCCAGCTACTTGCTCGGGGCCAGACCTCCCGAACCCTTTTCTTGTGTCAGGCTACTGATTTTCGAAACGCAGGACCTCAGCAATGGCTCGTAAACACATGAATTCCCCTGCATATTGGTTTTGTCAAGGGAGAACGTCAAAATGAACCCCACAAGCCATAACCCCTCCACATATAAGTACAAACAGAGAACGCAAAAAATAAAACCCAAACCTCACACACGGATACTTTACGCAAGCAATCCAACATATGTTAACCCCTCCATATACATATAGAGCATCAAAATGATTCCCCAAACATCATGAGAAAATCAAACTTTTCACATATATAATGCAAATTAACCGGAGAATATCAAAACACAGTCGCACACACGAGGATACCTTATGCAAAGTAGTCCTCCATATGTTAACCCCTCCATATATATAGAGTACCAAAAAGAATCCCCAAACTCCTCCATGTATCATGAGAAAACCAAAATTCCCACATATATACTTCAAACTTACAAGAGAAAATAAAAACTCACACACGCACAAACACGAATACCTTACGCAAGTAGTCCCTTGAGACATCAGCCAACACATCCCTGACTCGCCACACAACCTCAGGAAGCTCAGGCACCTTCATTCTGGCCAAAACATTCCGAAGAAACTCGATCCATGCCTTTGAATAAACGAAGTAATACCCATATATCAACCGGAAGGCCGTCCCTGACTTTTCGTGCTTGTCGGCGACAAATAGCAATGGGTTCAGGACAACTATGAGACTGATATTAGCCACATCGAAATGTTTGATAGAGACCACAGCTGAATTAACTAAAGTTCCCAGCCATTCTCCGAGTAGAGGACCAACCCAATCGGCACAGAGAAAACTAGCGAGTTGAGCACGATACCGACAAATACTCCGATCTCGATTTTTCGAATCTGGTGTGTGAAGGGCAGCAGGAGTAGGATGAAGATGTATGCTGTGGTGCTTGTTACCACTTTCAGAAGCTTCAACGGGTTAATTCCTCCATGGGGAACATTCCGCGCGAGCTGAACACCGACCAGAGCAAGGAAAGCGAGTGAAGCCGTGATACTCCAGAGAAGCCTCCTGCTGATTTCACTACAAACGAACAAAGAGAGGAGAAATTAAGCAGCTGGAAAATAAAGGCGACGGCGAAATTTGAACCGCTTACCTTCGCTCAGTCGCGGCTAGGGTTCGTGCTGCGACGGGAGGAGGCGGCGGGATTTTTTTGCTCCAAGGATGCAGCGGCGGCGGAGAGACATGAAGGACGTCGGAGTCGGCCGGTGGTTGTTCGGAGCTCGGCAGGGGTCCTTCAGCCACCGGTGGCCAGCGGTTAGGGTTCTCCAGTGCGGAGAGGTTGGAGTCGTTTGTTTCGAGCTTAGGGCCGGCGGCGGCAGTAGGCGGTACGCCGGTGGGGGAGGGTGAACGGAGCATTGTTGGCGTCGTGAATGGGTTAACAAAAAGAAAAAAAATAGGAGAAAATCGGTCTGACGATGGGTCGCAATCGATATCATTTTATACCAAATCAGTTGGAGAAAATGGTTGCAATATTGGATCGTTTTTTGGGCTAACAAATGTAGGCCAATGTATGGGCTGCTGGAAATGGGCCGCCAATAGTGACACCTTGACACTTGACTATAGGAAATGGATCACATTTACTAACAAGCTATCCAATTGGTCATTGGTCATTCACATTTTTTTTTTTTTCAAATAAATTTGTCATGGACAATATTGTTTTGACAATGGGTATTTTGATTCCAAGATATAGGTATTGTATATGAATCCAACTATATCACGTAGAAATACCATGATCATGCAACTCTTATAAGTATACATGAACGATGAGGATAATTGAATCGACAAATCGTTGGTTCAAATCAGTTGATCCGTTGTCAAAATTTTGGATCACATTCTTTGAGCGTGTATATACTATTTGAA